GCAAAGTCGTTAGCTTATACGTATTATGGATTCGCGGCTGTAAGCAAACTCTCACCAGCCAAATTGGACAATTACGTAATATAGCGACTTACTCTAATCCGATGGCTCAATTAAAAATGCCTATAAATTAAAGGGTATATCATTGACGTGCTAATTAATGAGTCGTAATTACGAGTTTATGTATTTCCGATATCTCACACACGTAGCTCTCGCGTAAGAATGAAAAAGAACCCACTTGAACTTTTCTGCTCTTTTCCACTCGCAGCTGTCTTAAACTAAGCATAATAGCATACGTTCGCAACCAGTGAATTGATTGATATACAAATGCAAATTTATACGTTAGCGAAGTTTGACCCTCTTTCTCCCTTTTGTCATGGTAGTCCGTGAAAAAAAGAAAAGAAAATGAAGACGAAGTAAAAGAAGAAAATAATAATAAAAGAAGCCATTAAAATATTAATGGGTGAAAAAAAAGTTGTTAATATTACTTACGACCGCACGACCACAGAGAGACATTATACATACGAATATCACGCGCTATGGGTTATACCAGAGAATCTTTTTTTTACTGGCTTCTCAGGGAAAGACTTGAAAATATTGAAGGGTAGTTCCTTCGAGAGATTTTCATTGCAATCGGGTGCAATTTTCACTGCTTATGATATTAGCTGGGGTTTAAAGTTTCTTTAAAAATGTTTGCAACAATTTCATTATAATAGTCTGATAATTACACACAATCAAAGCTTTATTCAAATAAATTAAAATGAACTCAAAAGTCGATCATGTTGAAAAATGGCAAATATTAAAAAATAAATGAACCAACGCAGATTATACGTTTCTAGACAGTTGTTATCAGAAAGGAAAACTGCTTCCCATGCGCACTCATGGACAATAAAGTTCATAAAGTAACACCGTAAGTATGTCCCGTCATTATTATAGCAACTGACTTGTACAACGCGTAGGAATGAGCGCGGGTCATTTTTACCATCGCTCTGCAAAATATTTATGCACGCGGGCATGTGTCGAATGAAAAACATAACAACAACACGTGTGTATGTTTACTATCTTATTAAACTCGTCGCAGAGTTGTGGTATTTTGAGAAATAAAACATAAATCATACTGCATATTTGATAATTATATTCATGGGTAGTCCACATTTATAGTCTCTCTTTTGTACGGAGTCGTATACACAGGGTTACAATATGTACGTATATGTTTATAATGGACGTGTATGTGTAATGCATATACTTAATTCATGGTTAGGTCGACGCAAAACCGAACAAACTTTTTCATTCCTCTTCTTCTTGATTTACCACGTGCTCAGCACAGTTCGTTGCCTTCTTTAATTAAAATCTTTACGCGAACAAGTCTTATTATATACTCCTATCCTCACTCGCGCGTCTTGCCAGAGTCTTCAATTATTATCAAGCGATGAACTAAACGAAATACTTTGTACGCGGTTGGTGTCTATATAAAAAAGCTATTCGTACATATGTATAGCTCGGCTTCGAAAGGAAAGTTGATACAGCTCGTGATTGTGAGCGCCGCCGCCGTCTTTGAACCGTACGTACGCACCCAATGCGCCTGCCTCTCCTCGCGAAACTTTTTACCTCCGTCTTTTTTTTTGCGAGCATTTCACCCTCGTACGCTTTGCGCGACTTTTGTTTGGATTTTTATATTCACTGTGTAGACTATAAGCCTTGGTGGCCACTTTCACTTGTGCAATATGGATTTAAAAGCTTTGACTCGTAGACTTTCCGAAACATCGTACACATACTTATCAAACTAGTGAGTACGTCTTTGAGCATAGGTAACTAATAACATTTTCGATAAAGAACATTAAGAGCATAAATTATTGCGATCGTTGCACTAGCTGCGCGGACGTGTGACCGAAACATGAGAAGGCAAAAAAATCGATTTAGCACATTCTACGTCGTTGCTGACGGCACACTGCACTCATGCGAACAAACCTTGGAACGCGTTTGGAGCAACAGCAACGAGTCAAGAGGATAAAATCTCTCCTTTCCTCATTCGATTCATTTTTAACTCGGGCGCAGAGAGACGTAGTATCTCCTGCGCGAGCTGCTGCTGCTGCTGTTCCATGGTATCGAGCTTTTTTCGCATGCACGTTTGACTCTCGCATTGTCAATATACGTATAGACCTAGTCGGCGATATAGTTGAGTAAAGTTACTATGCACGTTTCCTCTCTGTTTCTCTCTCGTCGTTGGATAAACTCACATTACGGGAGAAGGTCCCCCCCCCCCTTTCCCCCGCGATTTATGGCCCTCCTATGTCTGTCAGTCGATAAGCAATGTCCACGCACTGGTGCATTAAGCTGCGATTTCATCTCTCTATTTTAAACTAAAGATCGTGTGTATTGTTACATCACAAATAATCACAAATATTCAATTAATTCCTAGACTAGAGTAGAATGATTCAAAAGTCAAAGTGACCACGAGGCTTTTTTGTTGAAAATTGTCTAAATTTTCAGAAAAAAAAATATGCCAAAGTGATTGGAGCTATCTAGAAGAGATGTTTTTTGTTTTTTCCAATTTTTTTTGCACTTTTTTCTCTTCTACATAGCTCCAATCACTTTGGAATGATTTTTTTCGGAAAATTTGGACAATTTCATACAAAAAAACTCGTAGGCACTTTTACTTTTGAATCGTTCTACAATGATCCAGGAATTATTTTAATATTTGTGATTTTTCATGAATTTCGAAAAACCCCTAAAATGGCCAACTTTGGGCCTTTGAAAAAATGTTATAGTAGGCCCCAATTTTTCTAAAAATTTTTTGGGACAAATCTGACATCAAATACAACAAGTATTTCATATTTGCAGGAAAAAAATTTTTTTGGCCATTCGACTTCACAGAGAATCGGCCATATATAAATAATAATAAATCGCGTAACCTAAGTGAGGTGGGATGAGATTGAAAATGAAAGAAATTGCTATTTTGGTTGAGGGTTGATATTTTCTCCTAATAATGTACTGCTCAGTAACAAAAGTCCTTGCAACAGATAACTCATATAACATCACTGATTGTTGACTATTTGCAATAGAAGAATTAATATGCACCTAAATACTGCAGTAAGAAAAAAACGAATTAAAAAAATACGTTTTTTTTAAACCATTTATCCATCAACGGTAAGGTTACATTTTCAATCCTTTCTGACAAGCTTGGCTAATCAGATCATTTTTATTAAAATTTTATATTTTAAAATCCACTCATGTTTCGCATGTGCGTTGATCGTCGTTTCGAGTAGCTCGATTAATGAACATCACATATCATTACTACTTTTCTTTAGACCGATAATCGTATCATTTACTCAAGTAATATGTATTCATATCATGCCTCTGTCTAATTGAGAAATTCAGTTTTACAAATAACTTTATTATCCGTTTAAAGAAGTAATCGTTAGTCCGAAAGATATGACAGCACAAGCCGTTAAATACAATTAATATAATCATAGCAATACATCTTTCCCTGTATTTTACCAAAATCTTTAAAAACGTGTGAATCATAATTGCGTCCCAAGACTTGATAATATTTTAATAATCTATGTACATTTTAATGTACTTTCGACGTTTTCGTTATCTCGTGTGTTAAAAAGCTCATATTTGTAATACTCATAAGTAGTACATGGTATTAACGTAATTCTCTCTCTCTCTCTCTCTCTTTCTCTTTATCATTTCCTCAAGTATTTTAAAAAATTGGACTTCATTTTGGTAGAAGAAAAAAAGGAGAAAGCAAGCACCCGCAGCCTCGCGCAACTATATACGTTGCGCCGCCCGCTCTCAGCCGGCCAAGATTAACGTTGCTGAGCTTTTTTGCATTTCGCCCAAACGCGCAAGAGGCGAGCGCAAAGAGAGCACGCCTCGATAGTTTTACGATCGCGATGCAAAATACAGCACGCGCCGGGATTAGTGGTGAGAGAGAGAGAGAGAGAGAGAAAGAGAGAGAGATAGAACTGAGCAAGAGCGCGATTTTCTTCGTGCGTGATATACGGCTATACCAGCGCTAGAATACCGTAAAATTTGCAAATTTTCCAAATAACAAATTCCGAAAAGTGCGTGGCATGCACGGTTTCGTTGCTTTTTTTTTTACTAGTACTCGCGATTTTTCAGGAATCTCAGCACGATCGTGGTCGTTTGGTATTGAAAAAAAAATGACACGAAAAAGAAAAAAAATGAAGAAACGAGACACGGATGTGTATATAAGCGTTGTTCAGTATCGCGAGATGAAAAAAGGGTTTTTGTATAACGTGCGCGTGGCCCTGCAGCAGACTTTTGAGATGAGATAAGCTTTTTCATTGATCATACGAAATACGGTACATATAATGTAGAAAATTCACGATACAGTCTTCATTTATATACTATCGGCGATATAAAAGTACGTCATCGAATCGAGCTTTTAGATGTATAGATATATAGGACCACGTACGATTTAAGAGAAAGAGAGAGAGAGAAAAGGGAGAAGAGGAGGAAAACACTAGCTCCTCTTTCTTTCTCTTACTATCGAGCAATTTTATTCGCGGAAAAATACTTCTCTTTTTTCGCTTGCTCTACAGTGTGACAGTGACGACGAGCAAACGGAAAAGATGGAACGCGATCTGTGAGCAGCGCGCACATACACACGCACGCACACACAAAAAAAGCTGTACTCACGCCAACGACCCCATAACTGTTAAACAGTATAGCATGTGTGCAAGCGCGAGCTTTTCTGCCACGCTCGCGCGTTTATCCCCTCACTTGCCGGTGCTGCCGCTGTTATAACGTTACACGGTTACGTCGCAGTACGTGATACAATTGCAGCGATCGGCGCGATAGATAATCCACCGTCTGAGCTTTTGGGCAGTAATGAAAATTAGCCCTCGCTCTGCATATGCAGTCGTTGTAACATTATCAAAATCTCGGAGCTTTTATGCACTCGATGTAAGAGCTCCGGACACATGTATCGCATTGCAATCTTCTCATTGCCTCGTTTTTTTCTCGTTTTGCAGGGCGAACGTTGAACGGACAGCCGCTGCTGGAATTCCCGTTGGCCAGCAGCAGCGAGCCAGCCTTCGAGCCGCTGAGCATCAAGAAAGCCACGCTCTGGGCTAGAGTCGAGCTGAGGCACGCTCATCATTATCAGCACCATCGCAACGGCGTAAACAGCAATAATCAACGTAACATTACTCTTTGGGTGTTCAGGGTTAGATGCGGTAACGTAACCCATTTGCGTGGCAAGGTAAGTTTTGCTCGCTCTTATTTCCATGTAAATTCGAATGTATATTTTATTTTACGCGCTCCGATCGTGCCAGTGTAATTGTTTCCGGACTTTTTAAAGCTATTACTATACACGTCCAAGATAAAGAGAAAAAGAGTGAGAAAGATAGCTTTTGCACGAAAGCAAAAGTAAAAGGACAGACGCGCGAGTCCGATCGCTGCTGCCGCATCTGGTGTCGCTACTTTTTCTTCTTTTTTTTTTCTTTCTTTCTCGACTGCTGCAATCGAATTAAGTTTGAAGGCGCGTGTATAAAAGCCTAATACCAGTGGAAAATATACATATAAGATCACGCGCGTACATGCAGCAGAAGCAAAATCGAATAGGAATGTTAACTCGCGAACTTTGGCCATGTTCCCTGAACTTTCTTTCAAGCGTGAAGGCCGAAAGCTTTTTTTCCCTCTCTCTCTCTCTCTCTCTCTCTTTCCCTCCTCTCTTTACCCTCGCAGGGCCGAGAATACATCTTCGTATATACGTATATCCAACGCGTACGTCTCATATATATCTTCTTAAGTTTTTTTCTCTCAGTCTATTTCGGCTATGTGTGTGAATATTTATGGATCTTTATTTTCTTTTTTAATATTAATGTTATATGACGCAACTGATATTCATCAGGCATTCAAATAAAATATGATTCAATGTTACATGAATCACGTTGAGAAATCGGGTGATAAGAAACATCGCGTAGTAAAGAAAACGCACGTTCGAGGCCTATTTTGCCATCTCAATCTCGATTTTTAGCTTGTTTCGCTCGCCAATTTGAGGATAATTTTATTATTACGCATGTATACACATGTATTTGTTAGAAAAATACTATTATGTGGTAGTGAGAAGGGGACAAAAGGCAGTGACCTTTTTCGAAGTCTACGTATGTGTAATACGCTGAAGAGGGACGCGATGAGGCAATACGTTATTACTTTATAAATGAGGAGGATACACGCAGAAAAAAGGAGGAAGAGGAGGGTGCAGTATTGAAATCTGGTCAGATGGGCAAGGCAGCAGCAACTCTGCAATCTCATTTGATTTATTACCACATTTAATCCTATTAAAACCTTTGCCAATCTTTCGCGGTCTATATTCGTTTGATATCTCGTCTCTCTCTCTCTCTCTCTCTCTCTCCCTTCCTTTTTTTTATACATCTCTACTGGTAACACCTCGCGCGCAGCACGGCAGCCGCAGTATATAGTATATCGTGGCATTTGTTAGGTTTCAAGAGAGGCTAACTCTGCATCATATAACACCGCTGCTTTACACACAAACGCACACACACGAGTTTGAGACGCTTTGCATATATACAAACTTACTAATACAACTGCCTGGATGACCGTACGGGATAAAATACATGCATACGAATGCGGAAAGATTATTGACATGTTATGCGCTCGCGGCACATTGTAGAGCTATAGCATTGCTATGAGTTGAGAATGATCTTAAAAGTGACAAGAGCCTTAACACACCTCTAAATAGTCTAGAATGCATAATGCGAGCAATTCTAAACATTTTTTTCACGAGGGACCAGAAAAAATTTTGTGGTTGAAAGCGTTTACCGAGCAATAATAATGGCTCATAAGAGTCCTAACAACGTGATGAAATTATAATAGCTTCAAAATTTAGTGAAACTTTATTCATACCAGTAAAACCCCACATTTTGCATTTCCAAGAATTTATAAGACTCGATGACGTCATCCATTCCTATGTAGAATTACAATTGATAGAGCATATAAACTATCATTGTTGTGCTAATTTAATAAATTAATAATTACCATTATTAACGCGAAGAGCTCAAAATGAGCTTAATTCTTTTAATTTTTATTTTTACAGAATTGAAACAATTTTGTTTGAATAGTAGCCTTTTTCAATAACCTATCGAGGAGCGCGTGTCGGGCTCCGAATGGCAATTTAAAATTACTTTGATCTGTTAGTTCCGTAAAAATAGTTAAATACATTGTTATGAGTCTATAAATCTTAAATGCTTAGCATTGGATACGATTAAGCCGCTTGTCGTAAGATTCCAAGTCATCGGATAAATTGATTTAGTTCCATGTAATTTCATTTTGTTCGATATACTTTTGGCCACAGTTGTTGTACCTCAAACTAAGCTTAAGATCAACTTTAACTATTTGTGCATGCCCATTTACTAAAAATGTGGAATTTTTTTGCGCATCTTTCAAAAGCGCTTAAAGTTTGGCTTAAAGTTTCGGGACTAAGACTTCATGGCAGGATTTATTCATTCGACAATTGGGGATTAAACGATGACACGCTTTTCAGTAGCATAAGTCGCAGTTTCTGGCATCATTTCGAAGCTATCACATTCGTTACGCTAATCTTACTCTGCGATACCAGAAACTTCGACTTATAACTCAGAAAAGGGGAAATAAATGTAGACTTATCGCAACAGTGTTATAAAATTTAGTATGGCACTTGTATCATAATAGTACATTATGCAACGGGTGTGGACATGCTTTTTCTGCAAAACGAGGGGTTGCAGCACGAGCCGAAGGCGAATGCTGAAACGAATTTTGCTGAAAAAGCTTACAAGAACCTAACATTAGCGGCAAAGTTGCGATTTTTAGGTTAGTGTGCCATAAAGTACAATTTCACAACCAGATTATTAATTTAAAAATGTGCTCCGAATCTAAAACACTTTTTTAGAGGTGATTCACATGGATTATACATATTTAATTTTCATTATCAATCGTCTAATCAGAACAACTATTTATGAATAGCAATAGTCCTACAAGAAAATATTTCTTAGAGATCCTCATATCTTTGACAATATCTATATAGATATATTTTAAGAACGACCGTCAGTTGAATAGAGCATCAGGCGCTCTTATAATACTTCTCCGCGTTTTTGTTGTATGCACTTGTTCGGATCGTAGCTACATGTGCTACACAAATATATAGCTCTACCAGGAGGAGAAGGAGAGAGAGAAAGAGAGATACAGTTGTATATGCGCACGCAAAAAGATTATTCGCTGCCCTTTTTTTATTTTCTCGCTCAAAAGTATTATGAATATTTTTCTCACTCTTTGGAGTGTTCACAGTACACACTCTATGATATTCACACACTTATTTGTTACATCTAAGATATGTATTAACGAACGTTGTATATATGTGTACACGTAAAAGATATTTTTCGATTTTAGAAAATAGTCAATATCGAAGACTTACAATTTCTCGCAGGTTCTCGCGCGTGGGAGTGAGAAAGTTTACACATCGTGTAAAATGTTAAAACTGCAGCTTATTGTACACCTGTACTATGCATGAGTGTGTCTGTGGCTTGTACATATTGCTTTTTAGCTGCCAGCGCAAAAATCCACATACACGCAAACACGAATACATATATACATATAAATACGCTTTTGCTTTCATTGATTTGATAAATAATACACGTCACACGCCCAACGCGCTCACATGCCCTGCCAGCGTAGCTGTAGCTATAGCTCGTTAAAAAAAAAAGAAAAAAAACTTTCGAGTTGCTTTCCCTTGAACTGAATTTAACTTGGGTGTCTTTTGAATTAATTCAATCTTGTTAATTATTGAAGATTTTAGAGTTGATAGGTTATATTTTATTATCCAAAAAAACAACAAAATTTTCTCATGCATTCACGTCACGTTCGTTTACGACTTTCTGACCGAAATCATTCGCGTCTACATCCAATATTAGTGGTTTCAATGTCTATTTTTGACTCATGAAAACTCATGAGCTCATTCGAATTAAATCGATGGTTACAGCTTTAAAAAAGTTTAACGCATCGTACGCTACCAGTCGAAAATTTTCATTGTGCAATTTAGTGATTTGTCTTTTCAATGAATAAGAATAAAATTTGAAAAGTGCGGGCTTTATTGTGAACATACTGTACACGGGAACATACGTGAGTAGAGTACAGGGGTTTTCAACTTTTGTGCTCCAGCTAGCTATGCGGTAGGACTTACATTTGCGAGTTTTACTCATTAATTCAAACGGTGAACTAAAAGAAAGATTGTGCGTCAGGGTAAAATACAAATATCGATTCGCAGTCTGAGTGGGACTAGCTAAAGTTTAATAATTTTTAATTTAAGAGAATTTTGTATATTCGTATATGGTTGCGAAATGGTTCCGCGTTATATACGAGTGCACTGCAAAAATGCGTGATTCATCGCGTTGTCTTCTTTTCTAGGATCTCGGTCAGCACTTGGAACTAGTTACGTCGCTCGCCGTCAACATCGGCCAGCTGGGCTGGCAGAAATTTGATGTCACGCGGCCCGTGAGTAACTGGTATCAATCGCATCATCTCAGCGGCATTGGCAGGGACAGGCGCAGCTCGAGTAGTAAAGACAAAAAACTGACGCTGCTGGTCGATTGCACAGGATGCGGCTCGCACGTGCACGTGTCCACCTTCGGAGGTCATTCGCCTCACGTTGTAGAGCCGTCTTTAAATAGCAAAAGTAAGTAAGCCCTGCGCGATTAATATTATAAGTACGTTATACATGTACGTGTATACCTAGACTTGTGTTGGTGGTTGTCTATATGTGAGCGTGTATGTTGCATATACATTTACGACACACAATTTTCAGTACATATAGCCGATTCTCCGTGAAATCGAATGGTTCTACGGAGCATTTTTTTTCTTATAATGTTAAAAACTCGCAGTTTTACCTTATTAGAATCCATTTCAAGAGCCTGGAATGGACGTTTTATGTAGTTTATTGAATTAAAAAAATTCCAAACTTATGATTTTAGAAATAAATACTCCACAAAAGTCTAAAAATGTTATTAGCTTGTTATTACAGAAAAATTCAAGTTCATTCCAGATTTTCACCGCCATTAATTTCAACTGTTTGCTTGCACTATCAAGTTATACCCTCTTTAAATGAAAAATCCAATCGTTGTTGAAAAATTTTTCGAAAAATTCTATTTTCTGCTATTTTTTTCTGTTTTTACACTTTTTCAAATCGCTCAAAACATTTTTTAATATTCCTAAAATGAAATATTCTTTATTTGTGCTCAAATAGAGTAAAAAATGGCTCTAAGATTCCAAATCGCAGTACATTCCAATCACTGCGATGCATGAAAGTTTTATTACATGACTTACACTCACGCCCCGTGTACACTGCTTCTCAAAATGCACGTATGCTGTACGTGTACACGTGGGTTTATAACACGTAATTATTGGAATGTATGAACGCACCTTTGGGTCTACCTTACGTCGAGGTAATCGCAAAAAGAGTTATCCGCACGAGATATTTATATACAACTAGTAACAATGCATTGTGATATATTGATGAAATAAAAATAGAAAACCATGTGTAGTGAGCAAATGTACATACCAAGAAACATATTCGTTGAACAATTTGATTTAATAAGCCGGAAAGTTACTCTCAAACGAGAGTTAAAGATGCATGCAACCATTTTTTGCATAGTAAAAATATGCTAATATGGACCTCGTAGTAACTTTCCGACTTGAAGCTGCTTTGAAAGCTCAATAGACATTACACTCCTCGCTTCAAAGAAGGACGACGTCGTTTGTTTGCAGGCACGCAGGACCCGGACAGGCCATTTCTCGTCGTGCGCACCGATCCAGCGGCCGTCAAACGCGTCCGCAGACGGGCCATCGAGTGCACCGGGGCCGTCAAGGGCCAATGCTGCAAGCAGCGATTCTACGTAAGCTTCTCGCAGCTTGGCTGGGATGACTGGATCATTGCTCCACAGGGGTAAGAATAATATACGAACGAAAATGAAAATTATGATTTGTACGTGACGATTATTAGCGATATTTTAGCCCAATTTTTCGTCTGTCTCTTTTATGATTCATGTAGAGACGGCCGCACTGACGTAAAAAGCGAAAAGTTTCAAGTTTTGCGCGCGTGTCAAGGTTTTTGGCAGTGGACGCGACGTTGGAGAATTTTTTTTACCGCACGTATTTTCGGGCACAAAAAAGCTTCTCGCGAGGAAATCTACATATAGAGGTCGATCAAAATATATAACTTGTAATGTGAATTATTGAATTTATTCGCCTTGTGCGGGCTAGAAACTCAAAAAACGGGTCAGATTATATACAATGTACACATAGGCGAAAGAAAGTATTATATTATATTTTATACATTGAGAATCAACCGACCGGAAAGTCATCCCGACGAGGCACTGCGCAGGATGTACACGAAAGCACGCAAAAGTAATAAATTTTATTTTACGATTAAAAATTAAAACTAAATCCTACTCATAAAAACAAGAAGAAAAGGAAAAAACAACAATTAATTGTCCGATCGGTATGTTGCATAGATGAAGTTGCATTTGTGAGTGTTGGTGTACGTTTGTGTTTGTGAGCAGGGTGTGAAACAATGATGATACTTTGTCATCCAATCTAAAATACGCGTATGACAGACATTCGTAGGGTATCATGAAACCAACTGGCCATATACAACTGCACTGGCAACGGCCAGCGGCCAGCGGGAAGGGATTATTTGCAAAATTATGGATGAGACACGGGAGTGAAGCGGTTTCAATGCAAAAGCAGAGAGTGAGAGAGACTATAGAACTTTTCTCTCTCTTTTTCAAATTACATTACTACGAGTGTGGAATATTTGAAAGTAGTGCTAATCACATTAACGTCTACGTGTTATCATCGAACAAATACTTGTTTTTTCTTCTGTTTTCTTTTACTTTTTTTTCACTCAAAGTATACACGTGTACTAGGCGTAACGAGGAAACGTTTTGTTTCGTACATGCGATACGCAAATATATACGAAGTATCAATCACGCACCACGAATTTAAGTAGGCACATTTTTAATGATTCACCAAGCCGATTAATTTCAGCTCTGTCAGTGGTAGCATACCACTCGTGCGCCAGCTTGCGAACAGATGATAATTCCCTTGCGTTTTATTTGTCAACACCTATTGACGTATTTAAAATAGGAAGGGAAAAAATACGAATTGAATTTTTCGCTATATTTTTTTAGGTACAGTTCTGAGCCTCTGTTGTTTATATTTCTGTTCTGTCCGTAGCTACTACGCGAATTACTGCAGAGGTGACTGCGCAGCGGGTCACAGGACGCCCGATACATTTCCGAATTACTACACACACGTGATCGAGGAATACCGTAAGATGGACCGACTTGCGGGCATGCAGCCTTGCTGCGCCCCACTCAAGTTCTCGCCGATGTCGCTCATCTACTACGGTCCGGACTCCAACATAATCAAGCGGGACCTGCCAAAGATGATCGTCGACGAGTGCGGCTGTCCATAAACTGATCGACAAATCATCAAAGCATCATCATCATCACATCATCATTATCATCATCATCATCATCATCATCATCATCATCATTACGATTATTATGATTAATATTATTCTTATTATTATTACGATAATTATTATTATCATCAATATATAAATATATTATATGAAAAATACCTACGTACTATGATAGATTCAAGTGCGTGTAAAGATATCTCGTTTGAGTTATATAATGTAACTGAAATGTATCAGAACAAATTTAAAATAACAATTTAATTGTTAATATATTGCTTTGGAGTATGTGTGAGTGTATGTACGTAAGCATGCATGAGTTAGGATTGTCAATGAAAAAAAATAAATAAATAAATAAATCTTTTAGTTAAAAAATCAGTCAGAGTATAAGTTAGAGTTGAAAAAGTAAAGCAAGAGTAAGCGAAAAGATCAAATGTGCATATGAGCGCAAGTCTAAAAAGTCTAAATGTTCGATCATTCTCTATTATATCGCGTGTAATAAATACTAAGAAATGTGTGTATGATGAAGACAATTCTAGCGAAAGAAAAAAGCTTAGTCCTTTTCTATTAGTTACAATTATGTAACACTGCGGGTATGGGTGTATATATACGAGGTCGTTTGTCCGAATATTATATATTATATACATAGATATAAAAAAATTATTAATAAATATTATGAGATGAGAGAATGAAATGAGTATGGTATAAGATTATGTAAAAGAAGAAACTCAATCTAATTGCCTTGTTTTTTATGCAAAATCTATGAAAGTATCGATGAACGAGTCAAATCTTTAAGTAGGAGTACTACTGAAAAATTCTATTATATATATAAAGTCTAACTAATATTATATATATATATATATTATTATATATAAAAAACGGACGCAATGAGGATGATATAAAAAAAGGAAAACTCGAGCACTGCAATTGATGATGGGCCGTTGATAATTAAAAGTTCAAAAGCTGAATAAGAAAAAACTATTGAATTATTATAATGAAAAAATGACCTTAAAAATTGAGAGGTGTAATAAGTAAGTTTTGAAGATTTTACAAAGCATGTTGGATAACCCGATTCTATAAAATATATCTTAAAAACAAAATCGAGTCTGTATACTTGAAAAATGATCTTAGGGCATTTCATAAATCTAGGTATACACTTATATAATACGACAAAAATCAAAGAGCAAAAATAGCTAATAAAGTTTAATAAATTTAATATTTAATACATTTTCAACTAACGGAGAGACAGGTGTGAAGACAAGGAATGTGAATTTCAAACCGAAAGACAAATTTTGATCTCGAAATGTATCTAGATGGAAATATTTCGCGTGAATTTTTGGATAAAAAAGTGAGTATAAAGAAACATTGTGACAAAAACAATAATTCAAAAAATCAAAAAATTTTTGACAATAATGTTGCGATGGAAATCAATATTCGGGTAAAAATTTCAAATTTTCAAACAATATGATTTCAAAATTTATTTTATAATTTTTCTATAATTAAATAATATCATTCACTTATAATTACCGTTGAAAATTTTTGAGTACGTAAAAAATTACAAGCCAAATTTCGTCAAATAGTTTGAATTAGTTTATGATTCTCGCAAAAGTTTTATTAAAATACATAAATGGGATGAGGGCAATGATACAAAACCAGTCAGATTTGAAAAAGGAAAATAAAATAATAGAACAGTAATGGAAAATTGCGCGAGGACTAGTGACAAATGAGGAAAATAGAAAAGTCGTGAGAAAAATGTTTTAAAAAGGTATATTAAATTTTGTGGGATTGTTTGTTGACCCCACGCAGCCTTACTGGGCCTTATTAAGATATTATCGCAATATTGCTAAATTATTATAAAATAAAAAAAGAACAATGATATTTACGCTACTTCCAATATCCTCTACAAAATAAACTTTAATAAAGTAAGACAACCAGCAATTATAAGCCATCCGTTGATAATTTTTCTAAACGGTGTTTAATAAACGAAAATTGTAGGACTGACATTTACGTAAGTTTGACAGATAGAAAAAACGAGCTCAATTCTAAGTGCGCAATAAAAAAACACAAGGACTAGAACATTTTTAATAACATTTTTTAGCCTCTTTGTCAGCTACTAGCCAAAATAGCATGGAAACTATTGCGTCCACGTGGAAAAAGAAAAAGACTTGCATAGTTTTAGAATAAAACACGTAATGATTAAAAGACTTTGTTTTTTATTTATATATAGTATTTTTAGATAAAATGCAATTGTAAATCGGGATGACAAGTAATAGCGAGTGAATAACCAAAAAAATTGTATTAAAAAAAATTTGAAATAGTCAATCTCAATTAAAAAAATAGTGAAAGTTTCGCGACGCCTTTATCAGTTCATGGACTGTCTAAAAGTTATTTGACGTAGGCCTATGCAGAAAGGAAAAAATGAAACGGTTCTGTGTATAAATGCAACGTCCATAAAATTAAAAAGGGGAATGATGGGAATTACATAATAAATTTACTCATAGAAATATAATATTAATGAAAAAATGTATTTGCGGTTAAAAACTACTTCCATAGCTTCTTTCGATTTAAAAATATATTATCGTCTCTTTTGAAAATTTATCCACTTAAAATATAATTCTTGAATAAGCATTGTTGAATCAATGCGTTTAAACATAGTATCAAGAAAGCGATGTAATGATCAATCCGTAATTTTCCGAGGTTGAATTTTCATTCGAGATAATGTTAAAAAATTTAGCCATTGCATTATTACCAATGATTTTTGAAACAACGAAAGACGTGAAATTTCATTAATTTCAAAATATATATCTCGTATGCATGTTGTACATGGATAAAAAAAAATATAAGTTTTAAATTTGAAAACCTCATTTCAGTATTGAAAATCATTGGGAGCAATATAATGGCGTTTTGGTATAAACTTATAAATAAATATAAAAACGTATATATATAAAAGAAAAGAGAAGTAAAAGTAATATCACAATTCTTCACCGTATAAATAACACAAAGAAAGTGATATTATAATGCGTCCTGGAGTTCTTGGGCAAAAAAGAAAAGATGTTGTTTCGAAGATGTTTTTGTACTATATCGTCTCTCGTTGAAAAAAGACAAACTTATATTGGACTTACGACATATTATATATAAAAAAAGAAGAGAGGACAGTGAATTTCAATAAAAAAGAACTCGATTTTAAAAGAGTCAAGTGCTATTTATACAATGAATTTAGATTGTACCATAAAAAAAAGTAAACATCATTAGTAACCATGTAAAACGAATTACTTGCAAAAGATAAAAACATGTAAATATAGTCAAATCAACAAGGTTCATCAATTATTTTAAAAAATTCTATTTTTTTCAAATTTTTTGAGCAACTGACTCTTTTAATAAACGTGAAATTTCATCCCAAAGACTTGTGTAAAATGACACAAATGTTTATAAATATGTACAGGAGCTACTGCGATTAAGAATTTTCTCCCTTTGTCATAAAATGAATACGATACATGATAAACAAACAAAAAAATGTGCGTAATCACATGTCACATAAAATATTTAAGTTCTCGAGGAATCTGTCCGAGCGAATGCGATGTTATATATATTATATATATATCTGAAAAAGAAGCTGTATCATATATGCGTGAGAATGTACAATTTGAAAGAGGAATAATTCAGTGAATGACGAGAGGAACGGAATAGTAACAGCTAGATGATGAATGGACGAATAAAAATTTAGGTGGATATAGAATCAAAAATATCAATCGATTAAATATCTCTCAGTTATTACAAATCATTTTTATTTGTACTTTTTGAACAAATAAGTTATTAGATAGATATTTCATTTAGTCATTTTCTCGAAATTTATGTTTGAAAAATTGCTATAAATGCTTTCTAATTACCTGAAAATTTTAACGTATTTATATTGAAGTAATTTTTCTTCTAAAAACAAAAACCATACTATTTATTTAATCGATTGCTGTTTTTGTTTCACGGTAATGCATAGAAAAAATTAGATTTTAATAAAAAAAGAAATGAATATGTAAAATTGAAAATGAAAACGCAAATGGAAACTCTAAGCGCGTAATTGAAAAAGAGTGCCTAAAAGCAGGTACATACAAACATGTTCCTCTGCAATTGAACTGTGCATATAAAGTGAAGAATGTGTCTTTTTGTCCTCAAGAACGAGTTGCCACTGATTTCCAGCCTCTTCATGAAATAACAAGTTTCCTGTAAAAAAATTCTTTTTAAATGATTCTTCGACTTGATATGATCAATTGTCGATAGGTCGAAATAGTCCTAGTTGAATATAAGAAAAAAATTTCATAATTTGTGCATTTTGAAAATTTCTCTAAGAAGAGACGCGTATGTAATAAACCAAACAAAAAAAATTTAATATCTTTACTGATGTCATGTAAAACTTAAAGCTTACAGACATCGGACAATTCACTATTCCTGTGAAATTTTTCAAAAAATGCAAGTACTAATTGTAATAGAAAATATTATATAGTATTTAAATCACTTTAAAAAAAATCAAAAATATATTAAGAAACGTTGTTACTCGTTATGGATCTGCAGCTCAAAAATATGCCAATAACAAGCCAAGGCAGGATGAAAAATTACCAACATTCTATAAGAATATAAAATTATATAACTTTTTCTGAGAGCAGAATCAACACGTGTCAATACAAATTTTCCCTGTTCAATAGAGGATTTACGCGTGACATGGAAATATTCAACACTTTGTAATAATAAAAAGTCGAAATTTATTACCTTTACCTTCTATCAAGTAATTTTTACTAGCGAACAACCTACTACACCGAAAAATTTAAGCTTCAATTTTTATATTAATTAAAAAAAACGTATAAATTTATATGTGTGTATATAAACACGTGTTTGTGTAAATATACATACATGTACATGATATAACGACAATAACAAGTGAAAATATCTTCTTTTTAAATAAGAAAAGAGAATTCTTGCTTCTCGTCTTTCTCCATAAAAGCCATATCTTGCACGAAATCTGGCCCATGCATCTACCACCAAAATCCCCTCGAATTCGAACTATTATTCGCACTCATAGCATTAGAATCATATCAATGATTGACCTATCTCTCGTCCGAAGGCTAGAGAAATTGTATGTGTATGCCCGTAATTTTTGGTGTTAATGAGCCAGCGATGCATCATTCAGTGTTAGTGAATTATTTAGCAGATTCCATAGCACTTTCTGTCTAATTTATTGCTCTTCCAATAAGTATACATTGATTTTTCTAATAGAGTATCTCTTGACCACACTGGATAAAAAAACTATATAAAGAAATGTTAAAATTCAGTAATCGTAATTTAACCACTATATATTTTTCCATATCGATAATGATAATTTAAGAGAAAAGATTAAGAAAAAATAATTATAATAAACAAAATACTTTTGCAATCGACGAACATGAATATTTAGATTAAACTCGCCATTAAGAGTTTTCAAGTTTCGAAGACTATAAAGGTTTACAAACTGACGAATCGGTAGTCTAAAAAAAACGAAACAATTTCATTTTCTACAAAAGATGAAATGTAGGTTGTTTGCCGATCTGTCGTTTAATTTGTATCAACTCAGTAGAGTTAATTTACTTTATAAGTTTATATTTAAGATGCTGCACTGTCAAAAGTAGTATAAAGTAACTAAAAAAAAAAGCAATTTATACTGTAAAATACCTATTTAATAGTCCTCTCTTCTTAATATTGTAAGCTTTTGTTTTCGAACCAAAGGTCTGCTTTGAGAAACGACAAGAATAAACAAGAATAAAAGTCATTTCATTATACATTACTCGTGTATTTTCATCATCTTGTTATTTTTTATTTTGTGCGTAACATTAACAGTCGAAGCAAATGTTTGCCTACTAATTAAACTATCTTAAAAAATGTTTTCTAAGGAGAAAAAAAGTAGTATAGTATGTTATAATTATCAAAATCCGCAAAGGTTTATTTTGATGCTCGTAATCCTATTTCATAATAATACAAGAACAAAGTTCTACTAAATATTAAAATGGTCTACAAAATTACAAAACGACTTTGTAATGAATATTCATTTTAGCAGTTAACATTGATTCATTCACACTCTCTATTAACAATACATTCGCGTATATTACATTTTTATTCATCATTTTAATTTTTAATTTTTTCTCATTTTTATGATTGAATTCAAGACATTACACAAAGCTAACATTAGATAACACATTCATTTACATTGCTATACACTAAAATTCATTCCGTAGCGCCCAATTTACATGGTAACGGCAATTGTCTGCCGCATTATTCGCATTGAAACCAACAATGTTGATATTTCTGCTTAGAGAAATAATTTTTTTTCATCGTTGATTATAATGGGTCGAATGATGCACGGGTTCTAGTAAGAAAAATATATAATAACTATATTCACAAGTACATTGAAAAGAATACTATTTTTTCAGATTAATAACATTAGTAAAATAATCAGAAACATTCATTTTTTTGGTATTGCACGACCATAAATTCAAAACAACATTATGAAAATCATCACTTTGATTTCTATCATCAATGTTTCTGATTTCATACAAAATATAACAATTTTCGCATATCTTTTTCGTAATTATAAACATCTTATAACCGGTATGATAATGATTAAGTACTAATGACGTATGTTATCCAATCGACCGTCTTCGCGACTCGATGATATATTCCCGGCTGTCCGGGCTGCGCGCAAGAATATCCGGCCGAGACGATGCCAATCAAGTACCATTTGCCGGTTTTTTCTAGCATCAAAGGTCCGCCGCTGTCACCCTGAAAAAGGAGTAAACAATTGCAATACATATTTCTGAAATCTAATTGAGAAGAATGGAATTGCTGCTTTGTATACCTGACAAGAGTCTTTGCCACCCCCTCGATAACCGGCGCACATCATTTCATCGTAGATGATGACGTTGATGCCGTTCGATCGGTGCCACCTTTCGCAGACGCGGTTATCGATCACGGGTACGTCGACGGCTTGTAAAGTTTTAGGCCGCAATCTTGAACCTGAAATTACGTTGGAATTTTCATTTCGCATTGTTGAAAAATATCCTGTCTTGTTGAAAATTATGTTGATAAACTGAATCCTGTACCTGCTTGAAGAGCACCCCACCCCGCAGCCCAGCCGTATTGTCCTAAAAAGTCTTCGTTCTTCTCGGGTAAACAAATAGGGGATATGTGAGGCATATAATGAACCGGTCTGTCAAGCTTTAAAACAGCAACGTCAAATCTACAAAAAAATCGAAATTTTCATTAATATCTTTAAATTTGCAACTTTTCAGAAAGCAAGAATGAACCATTCTATTCTATAAAAGTGTACTACCTGTCGGCTTGTGGCGTGAATTTGAAATATGGATGAACTCGAATTTCCTTGACTCCAAATGTGTAGGCCGGAAGAGCTTCGGTCGCCGAGTTGACCACGTAATCGCCTAGTGTCACCTGAACTTGTCGAGCGGACGCCCTGCAATTTTCGAAAACAAATTTAATTATACAATTAAATAATTGCTACGAATGCTGAACCATAATAAAATATGATTTGTAAATCTGAGGTCACCAGAAAAATACCCATTCCATTTTCTGTCGGTTGAATTGAATTTAACTAAAGGCTTTAAGAATTTCACTCAATAGTTTTGAAAAGAAGTTGGTTTGAAAAATTACTACGAAAATTGTTAAAAATATTGCCGAGTTATTTTGCAACTTCACAGAAAAGTGAAATTAGACTTTTTCCGAAAAACCACTGATTCGTTCAGATGCTGACTTAGCAACGCAGTGTCCTGCAGTGACTACATGAAAACGATTAACAAGTGTTCCACCGCATCTACTGGACCCTATCCTGATATATGCCTAGAAAAAGAAAATCACAAATTTCATTTAGAATTCGTTTGAATAAAGAATAGATTATAGAATCTATAGTGGAGATTTGGAGAATCGAAATTACCTGCCAAGGAAAGCTGCCGAAACCAGCCTCATCGCCTCCAACGATTCTTCTCTGAGCTGTTTGCTTCGTAGCTGAGATACCGCATTCTGAAATATTTACGAGTTAGTGACGAAATAATTATACTAACTAAAGTCCATTATCAAATCATTCCTACGCTAGTACTTTTTTACAATAGTTATTGAATATTATCTACACATTACTAAATTTACGTACGATAAACAATAACAACACGACGCTCGGAAATTAAATTCTACACTTAAAATTTATAATATAATATTTATAGTGTTTTACAAAATGTACAAAAGAATCATAAAGGTGACAATACTTTGTGCGCTCGACTGACGTGTTTTTGACCATTCATATCTGGTCGATGAAAGGAAGAGAAATGATAATAAAAGAAGTTATGTTGCTGTAGAAGTCGCTTCTATTCGACACTTCCAACTCGAATATTATCCAATTTATTGACGATGTACCAAATCAGTAATTACTGATCAATCGTAACATGCAGTCCATATTTGTTAGTAGAGAGGAAATGTTTCGATAGTTGTCACCTCGTCAGTCGATGGAAGCAATGATTGTGAATGATAATTTAAAATTAATTCAAATTGGAAAATTAATTTACTTTCAAATTATTAGTTTATTTACATTACTTTATTCATAAGATTATTCATAAGAAAATAGAATAAAAAAAAACACTGAATTTATAGATTACTGGTTTCAAATGAATTAAATTTTAAAAGTGTTATACTTTTCAAATGTTTCATTATTTGAAATAAAGTTTTGATAAGTTCATTTACAAGATAGATTTTAAGATTCAAAATAACTGGTTAGTGCATTTTCATGGCGAAACGTGAGTAATGTTGCGTGCGTGCGTTTGCGTGCGTTATAGTCTCATTTTTATTGTATAAGAATTGATTATATATTTCTTTATTAGTAATTAAATACTAGTTATCAAGCAGAAAACTTATGAAGAAAAAAAACATCTCATGAAAATGTAGAATGATCATCTTTCTAAGCGACAAAATTTTTACTTATAAGGTGATGTTTTAATACTTGACGTCTACTAAATGAATATAAAATGAATTGAAAAAAAAGTGAATCATCAAATTTTTTCGCTAGAAATAATAAAAATAATATAGATCAGAATGAAGCAGCGAACTAATAGTATCAAGAGTTTCAATTATTTTTGTTTTTAATACAAGGAAGACAATCGTTCAAAATGACGTCTGTGACACAATGATAATGAATGAGCAAAAAATAATCTCCGTCGTAATCTGTCAAATCTCTCTCTCTGGATGAGCGTTAGAGTTTTCTCTTGAACTCGAAGCGATCAGCTGTGTTTTTTCTTCTGGTCAAGTCGCGTGCGTGCTCGGTCAAAGTTTGGTTGTTATGAACTTACGCTCCTGGCTGGTGGTTTCGGCTACGTAAGACGAGTCCGTGGCGAGCGACTCGATCTGATCTATGAGCGGCTCGTCCGGCAGATAATTATCACTGCTGGCCTTAGCCGAATCCCGGTTGCGATGGCAGCAGGCATACATGATGCCGCCGCAGCTGCCGTCGAGCAAGCCCGCGGACATCCAGCACATTAGAAAAAATTCACAGGTCCGTCCGTCAGCGCACAACGAATCGTCACCTTTCCACACCGGCCTATTTTCTTTCCGCGGCTCTGCACAAAAGATTCGTTTAATTGCCAACTCTTTCCATTATTTCCCTTCTTCTCTTTCTTTGGGTTTACATTGCACGTCTTTAGATACTAAACCAATCGTCAAACGCACCAAAATTTTTGATTCGTAAACAAGCCCCGAAAGAATAACAGATTGATTTTAACATTCGTCAAAAGAATTTCATCGCTCACTAAGGTAATTATATATATCGCAACGTTTTATTGAGGAGCAACGTTTTATGAAAAATTGATTTATTTAAGCATCGGAGCGTGAAAAATTATGACTGGCTGGCGCGGAGATCGACACTATTAGGAAATAATAACAGCGTGACCGGGTCGTTATACTTTAATACGATATTGCGTTAGTCTCTCCTGAGAGATGTAGAAAAAAAAAGTAGTAGATGACGAATTTTGCCATATCTTGAATCAGGAAACGTAGTAGAAATACTTTAATTCCATTATTTCTATTATGACTGTATTAATTTCTATGAACTAAGCTATACACTTTCGCTTTTCAACTAGTCCAGTACTTACTGCCTGTTTAGGTGTAAAATACTGCGAATATGTTTCGAAAAAAATATAGAAAAAAAAGCAACAATTCACTAACCTGTCTCCGCTCGTGGATACTCGTTGAAAATTTGCTTTCGATGATCTGTAAAAATGAATTAATTAAAAATTATTCAGTGCGAAAATGCGAGGAATTCGAGCATCGTAACGCGGTAATTGTCTGGCGTCTGTGGCGCGATTTACCACGCGGTTAAGAGCCACATAAGTTTATGCAAACAAACAAAATTGAGGTAGACACATGCATATGCGCACTCGCTTCCGCAACGAGTTAATTAGAAACGGCTAATGTTTTGTCTGGAATTAGTATTGTTTTGCATGTGCTCGAGCGCGAGCCGAATTCCCCCGCTCGAAATCAGTACCAAGAATTAGATAAGTACAATTGAAGAGGCAAAGCGCCTCGGGTTAGATAAGTTTTTCACCAGTGGAGTACTTGCTGAGCTGTGTTTATTTATTCTTATGAATTTACCGGCTTAATTGTAAATAAGCATATCGACTATCTTTAAAGGTCTTATCTATAGTTACATGCCTCAAAAGATGTTGCAATGATTCGTTTAATGTCAAACAACGGACGTGGACTCGAAAGCGCGCCCAAGATATATTTGTCACGTGCATGTAGGTACGGAAAGTCGCGAATCAGTACGCGTATAAGCGACCAAACTGGATCTTACTCATACCTTTGAAATCGTCGTCGATGTCGGGCAGCTGGTTGGACTGGAAAAAGTTATTGCTGCCGGATACTATGGGAAAGTCATCGCGGAATATGAGCCGTGGAGTGCGATGGCTCATGACCGGCGGCGAGGCTCTTATCGGGCCCGGGTACTCGATCGCGTTTAGGTGCGCCAGCGAGGAGCCCGGAGGACCGACCGAGCTCTGACGCCAGTAGGACTTTTGCTGGCGCCAGTTGGGAAATTCGCGCGGCTGCCCGTGGAAGCGGAAGTTGTTGGAGAATCCGACGTTTCTGGCCTGAGGCGGTGGTGGCGGCGGCGGTCCCAGATGCGGAGGCCCGCCGGAGCTCTCGATTATGTAGCCCGGTGGTAGCGTGGGAAATCGCGCGTAACGTCTTCTGCGCCCAGCAGCTGGACTGCTGCTGCTGCTACTGCTACTGCTGCGATTGCTCGGACTGACTTGGAAGGATCGATGGATGGCGGCGGACGTCGGAAAATCATAGCTGTTGTCGTAGTTCCGAGACTGGTCCAGCAAATCCAGCAACGGCGGCACTGGTTCGCGGTGCAGGTCTGTTTGGTGCTTTTGGCTGCTGCTACCGCTGCGGCTGCTGCTCGAATGACTCGGGCTCGGGTGGAAGCTCAAAATTATTCCGATCAGTAGGCAGCTGCATGGCTTCGTTATCAGCATCTTACTGCTGCGAAAACAAAAAAATCCCCTCGTTATTTAAGTCCTTATAGATTTGAATAATAAGAAGGTATAGGTAAATCATGGACAATTTTAACGGCGGATGGATGGGTGCACGCGCTCCAAGGTTCATATAAAACGAGCTGATACTTGAAAAAGGAGAGTCCTGCGCGCTAGGTCATATAGTTCGCTCTCATTATCTCGTAAGTATCGTAAAAGTCAAAGACGCCAACGTATACACACTGGCGCGCTTACGGAAACGATTTCTCATTGTATTCTATACGAGCTTTCACTTCCTTTGTGACGCTCGCGATAAACAGCAACGATCCTGTATTTATTATACGTATAAGTACGTGCGACATTCTAATGGATTCACGCGTTGTCTGCGAAAACTTATCGCTTCTTTTTTTCCTCTTAAAACTTGTCAAAATATCAATAAATCATGATTTGTTCCAACATAGGGTACCGAGCGACATTCTCTCGTCTTTTTTGACTACGAAGTGAATCAAAGATAAAACAAATCAAAATGCGAGCTTATCTTTTGTCCTTTAAATTGGATTTGTATCCATTCGCGTCATTATTAAGTAGTACTGATTCTTGCGTCCCTTAGATGACAAAAATCATATAATAGACAGCTGTTATTAACATTAGATATTCAAGATCGATATAAATGTTCAAGTATAAATAAGTATATGCTTCACGATCTGTCAGTGCCGATAGACTCTTGTGGTTCTCGTGCTGCAAGTCTTTCGCTTTCATCAATTGTACACATAACAGACCATGCAATTTCGAATAAACAACTTTCTCTATTAAATCTTACGCGAAGAAGCGACCGAAGCTCGCTCGTGCGCATATTATACACGAGCTTAAGTGCACGTCTCCTCACGTGCTCGCCGCCGAACGATGCTCTCCTCTCTCGATGCTACACTTTTATTTCAATTTTTTTTCTTTCTTTTCAAAGTCGTTTCCTTAATTGAAGGTAAAAAGCGGAAGCGAAGCGGCACTGAAGAGCCACCGTATCGTACGCTCGTACCCACGTAACCAATGAGCTTTAACCAATGTGATGCATTTTTGTACGCGCGCACGTGAGCTAGCGCGAGCAGTGAAAGGGAACGTGTGCCCCGATCCGTGTGTGTTTATGTGCATTGCTAGCGATGCATATCGACTTAACGAAAGAACCATCATCCCTTCGCAACCGACGCCAAAGAGCTGCTCGCGCTTACGTGGAGGCGCGTGATTCACCGCGTTACGCTCGAAAATAAATATTATGTGTGGAATATGTAACGAGTCGAGAACAAAATAATCTGAGGTTGTCGAACTCGTACATCTCCGGCTCGGTCGAAAAAAGCGCCGCGGGTCACGATCACCGCGACGCAAACGCGAAAGAGATGTCTTTTCTCTTCGTATCTCGATTACGCGGGTTCGCTACACGAAGGACGAGAGATCTAAACGAGCTTTCGAGTACGGCCTGCATCGTAATTGTGACATTTTCAACGAAGCGTAGGTGGCTACTGAGCGCGCGTACGGTACTTGAATTTTTTATTGCGACCGCGGGCTAAATATGTACGCGCGCGTGGAAGAAGAAAGTGACCGAGAGACAAATGCACAAAATGTCGAAATAAAAAAATTAAACAATCAACGTGGCCAACGAAGAATAAAAAAAGAACAGATTCGTTTTTGAATCGGAGGATGAATATAATTTCAGCTTTTATACGTTAACTAGAAGTGAAGAATGAAAGTGTTGAAACGATTGTCTTATAAACGCAGGTAACCCGTGTAGTACGTGTGCGTGTGCCTATGAAATTTGTATCAAAGTGTCGTCCAAACTGTGTCGCACAGACTCCCCGATTTCTTCACAATCATTCTTAATTAAATATTATTTCATGCCTACAGCATGAAACAGCCGTTTTTTTACCTGAATCTCAAGTGCTACATTTCTCGAGAACTATAGAAAAAATTTAATGTTCATAACGCAAAACTGAAATAAGTATCCCAAGAAACAATTGCGAGTATTCCGGAATATTTTCAGATGTTTTCTTTTTTCTATGCATTTTGTAAAGCGTATATAGCATGCAATGACTTGAATGCGGTACCGTTATTACATTAACGTTTTTTAAGATATTCTATAAATTATTTTTATCTCAGAAGAAGAGATTTAAAGGTCAAAAAAATCTATTTTTGAAATGAAAAATAATCAATATCTTAGTGAGACTAATTCGGTTGGGAAAAATTATAACATAAAGCACTTAAGCGTCTTACAGATATAAATATCAACCATGTTTCAACTTCGACCATCGTTACCAAAAAAACTGCTCCTTAACATACATTTCAATAAAATGAAGATTTGTATTCAATGAGTAATTGATTCCACAGAGACACTTTTAAATGACTCATCAAATTTATAGCAATCGATTTATAATGTGTACACTAAATAACTAAATCGTGAACTGAAGCGTGCAGCTTTGCACCAATAATGCAGAAAAAACACAGACAGAAAATAACACAATCTTGAAGTTCTCCACAATTAAAAAAAAAATTGACCCAGTTAGCAAAGCGATGAAAACAATTCGTAATTGTTCGTCACTGTGCTCAATGTTTAACAGATTATATTCAAATAAGGAGGTCTTGAGAGTTTGTTGATGTCGATAAATTATACTAAATTTATGAATGGTATCTTTATCATTTCATTGCTTTATATCGCATGGGGAAATATTTATGCCTATATTTTCAAATTTTGCTAAAAATGTAAATTCACCTGCGCACGACTTGAAACAAAATTTTGGAAATCAATCGAGGATAGTTTTGACCATTAACACGATTTTGAAAAATATCCTATAAACAACAATTAAAAATATATTTATCTGGACGTTATACAATTCTTTATTGACTGATGCATTTTGTTTCCTACATATCGCCATAAAATAAGGAAAAGTATCATTATTGCATGTCCAAAAGTATAGTCATTTACTGGTCGAACGCGATTAATCACTGGTTCAAGTACGCTAAACAATACAACAAACTCTACTAAGTCTTTATTGAACGAACAATGTTTTTGACGAAGAGTATAATCTATTGATCTTTGACACCAATGTATATAATTCATCTGATTTAAACAATCGCCATTTAATAATTCCAATATAATAATTGATAAATATTAAAGTCAATACTGAACTAACAAGGAGACCTTCTCACCTTTGGGTCACGGATCTTTACCAAAATTTTTTTGGGGTCTCCAGGAACCTAATAATAAAGCTCCCTATGCTTAGTTTTATTGAATGGGCCTTAGGGCCCATTTTAAAAGGGGTTTTCTCTTTTATTTAAAAATCGTTGAGATTTTCTATATCAAGATAGAAGCACTTAAACAAAAAAAATGACCAGATCGAAAGTTTTGAAATTTTTCAAAGTATCTGTCTGAATTATTTCAGAATTTTTCGAATCGTACATTACCTTTTTCCAGAGACCCTAATTTAATGCTTTTCTTACGAAATTTATAAACCTGTAGAAGGGGATTGGACAATTTAAAAAATTCTGAAAAAATTCAGACAGATACTTTGAAAAATTTCAAAACTTTCGATCTGGGCATTTTTTTGTTTAAGTGCTTCTATCTTGATATAGAAAATCTCAACGATTTTTAAATAAAAGAGAAAACCCCTTTTAAAATGGGCCCTAAGGCCCATTCAATAAAACTAAGCATAGGGAGCTTTATTATTAGGTTCCTGGAGACCTCAAAAAAATTTTGGTAACAATCCGTGACCCAAAGGTGAGAAGATCTCCTTGTAAGTATTAACTGTATAAATGATGACATGAAAAAATCATTCAATTTTAGATACTTTTCTGCCATCAACCATTACATAAGACCACAAGCTAAAATTAATTAATTTAATTTTGTTTTATTATTTTTGAGATCAAAAAATTTACAGTCGAATAAAGTTTCAAAAATAACTTTTTGAATATTCGCATATCATCATTTACTTATCAACTATCAGATTTTCATACCTCTTCAAAATGTCATACAATTCATCAGTTCAACTGAATTTATTAATGTTTCAAATTGCAACCATTCATTCATTTTTAAAATGTTGAAAACATTTTATTTATTTTTGCCGACAGGCATGATGAAGTTTTCTGAATTTTTACACGTTTATTAATTTTTTTTTCAATTTGCTATTAAATTGTCACTATGTTCTGAAGTAAATAAATGAATAGATAGTTATCTCGTGCTTTAATCGAGAGACGTTTTTTAGCATTACACATTAACTAACACTTGTAGGCTTACACACATTTTAACAACCAATTACAAATAGGCTTTCTTACTTATGTTTAAATCACTCGCTCGAGCACGTATGTATTAGCATGAATCGATTCGATCGTTAATAACATTCATTATAGACCCGAGTACCAGTATGAATGCCTAGACTTATTATACATGTGTCTGCACACGCGAGCCGAAAATTGGCAGCGTTAAAGAGAAAAAAATGAAATAAATTCCATCTTTTCTTGTAAACGTATACATTTGTTAAATCTAATGCACACGTTGTCTGGACGGCTGGCGCAGACTGCGCGTGTTCAGAGAAAGTGATCGTGTGGCCCATTGAATAAACACGATGTACATATATATCGCACACTTTTCCTTTTTTGCGCTCATGGCTCGCGCGCACCGATGTGTTGCCGGTGCGTGACGAGGCTCTTATAGGTATCGCACAAATCACTGATTATAATTGCCTACCGGTAGAAAATGATAAGAGAATCGCCACTGTGTATATTGGCAATTTGCGCTAAAGTTTCGGAACAAACTTAAAGTACTGCGAGGTTTCGCATGAATTGGATAAAAAATTATAGCGGATATTATTAATTGGCTATGCAAGACTTCAGTAACAAAATTTATCGAGGACATTAGCCGTGTAATTAGTATTTATCAATTAATTTAAATCGAAAGCCCAAACTGAATGAATAAAATAATTCGTAAATTAGATATGTTTTTTTAGCTCGTCATTTGAAAGAGACTTCACG